GTGACTGCCTAAGAAAATTAGCGGTATAATTACTAAACTATTTCAATTTTAGGCAAAAACATTTCGTGACCCAATTAGGGTGTCAAGTCAATTGGCACCTATTCTGTGTAAAGTAATATGCAAGAATTTGGGGTGAAGAAAGAGTTACAGGCCGCCCACTAACTGGAACCATTTATATTGTGCTTCAGAGCTCAATTACCCACTTTGCTCATTGGTTAAAGGCACCGTTAGCTATTTGTGCACACACATTTGTGATGTGTGAAGGCATCTGCTTTCTCTAAGTTTTTTTTTTTGCATTGTTTTATTGGCTCTGTGTGTTTTTATTTGCTGAAGGTAATCACCACACATCTTCCTGCTCCTTCTCACACCCACACACAATCATAAACACACACACACACACACACACGTGCGCATTCTTATGTCCTTAGATGACCCAGCTGCTGAGCCTGACAGCAGCATTCTTTTGTTTCGGTCTAGTAGGATCGTGCAACAAGTGTTAGACAGGGTTTGATTTAGTTTTTGTCCCACAACACACATTTCCAGCAGTTGCTCATATCACTTCACAGACTATATGAACTGTTTTTGCAGATTTCCATCAGCTTTATCCAGTTAAACTGTTCTATGGGATGTGTGCTGTGCCATACACACCTTAAGAAATGCCCTGTTTGAAACTACTTTGTGGACTCACCAAAGCATCTCAGGATGCAAGAAATAAAAACTAGACAAAGGCCTCTATTCCCTTGGCAGTGTCTGGGAGCCTAGTCCAATAAAAAGCTGTTTTATTTTCCCTTTCTTTTAATTCATTCTTTTTGAGTCTGTAAAATGATATGAGTGAATTGCCAGAACAAACACCCAATGACCTATTCTTTAAACCTCATGTTGCAGGTCGAGCTTTTCACACACATACAGTGGTGCATTACAGTGGCAGCATTTCCTCATTTGTGTGTTCTCATGGAGTGGAGAGCAGGGAAATCTTAGGTCGGCTCTTAAATCTGATGAATCCCAGAAAGAACACAGACATTTGAGGGAAACGAGCAAGTATGACAGTAGTCCTAGCACTTACTGAGAGAGAGAAAGCTCTCTGACCAGATATGGTTGCATACAAATGACATATTTAGTGTTTATTGTGTTGGCTTCAGTATATCTTTCACCAGAAAATGTTAAGAACCTCAGACAAAGACAATATAGATCAGAGTTGATCCTGATGTGTGTTTTCTTTAATGTCTAATTTGCATGTTTGCAGAGAGGCCTACATCAAATAGGCTATGTATGATGTCACTGTTTTTGTAATCTGGCAGGATAGTGCTGAGGCTATGTTAGTGTAACCTAACGTACGCAATTCATCACACAGGAGCTCTGTCTCCTCTTCTCTGTTCTCGGAGGCAGTTTTTTCATTCCCCGTTTCACTCTTTTCTTTTTTCATCTTCCCTGCGTGGTATAGCTGTGGTTACACCTGTCTTTTGAAGGCCATCTGCCACATCCACTCACACTAGGTCACATTAACTGTCAGATGTTTACGCTCTCCGGTCAAATCTTGGCTGCATTTTGATCCATTACACAAACAAAGATAAGTTATGGCACTTGAAGGTTTAACAGTTTCACACAGATGTTATTGCACTCTGTGGTTCTGTCAGGGTCTCTTAATTGCTCTCCCTGTTCTTCCTGTTTATTCCTTGTTTATCTGCATCATGCTTATTTTGTGTCTCTCTATAGTGCTTTTTCCATTGAGATCCATTAACAAAATCCACTTTCCAAAGTGGCTTGGCTCGCATTTCTCATATTTTAAATTATGGTTGGCGTTGTCCTGTCAGTTCTGTCTGGTCTTGAGGAGCAACTGTTCTTAGAAGAACGGGGATGCTGGTTTTTCTCAACAAGACAGATTTTATATGATGGAAAATAAAAATCGGTACACCATTCTAGTTTGGCTCTGTGTTTTAGCTGTGTTTGTGTTTATGAGGCCGTTGCTTAAGGAGCATAATGTTCTCCACAGACCAGGGTCATACTGTCTTTATGATGCTGATGTGCTTTCTCTTTCAGCAGTGAGTTTTTTTTTCAAGTGTCACATTTCTGACATGAGATTAAATTCATTGTGGCTATTGGTTGTATTACAGTGGAGAGAATGTGAGCGCTTTGTGTTATGCATTTTTAATACAAAGTTCTGCAAGACGGCATTTGTAAAATGGATTTTTTTTCCCCCGTGTGATTATTTGATCTGGAAATTAACGCATTTGCAGATAAAAATGAAAATGATAAGACTTTTGCTCACAGCTTTTTAGTTATGTGTGTCAGTGTTTGAGTAAATCTTGATGCTTGCTAAGTAAACTAATTCCTATGCATACTTTGGTTACCATGAATACAGTACATTTAAACTAGATATTTTTCAGTAAGAGATAAGTGGGAGAATTTGGGGTTTTGTTCATACCCCTGGTCTAGCTTTGGCAGCAGAATAAATTCAGGTGTCTTTATATTTGAGGGGACTGGCTGTGTTAAAATGTTGGGATTGCTGCAGACGGACCTCTCTGTCTGCCCTCTGTCCATCATCCTCCACAAATCACCCCCCTCTGTATTGCCACTAGAGATTTGCTGCATGCAATGAGCAGAAAAGTGTGCTATACACATCTTGCTATTCACTTTGTGAGTTTTTCTAACTCCACATGTACACATTGAATCTGTGTAGTTTGGCTGCAAAATTTTTGCGTGTCTGCTTCCTTTTCAGTATATGCCAGCTGAGTGCTGAACTTAACTGAAAGTTAAGTGAACTGAAAGTCTTAAGAAAACTGAATCCAAAGTTCTCTGGTGGTCTATAAAAATGCAGAGGGAAGAGAAAGCAGACGCATGAAACTATAAAGTCACTGATCTTTTACTGCTCTCCCTGTCTATCATAGGCTCTTATCTGTAGTGCCCTTCTTTGTGTGTGCTATGCTGACCATATGCAGCCCTGGAAGATGAAAGAAGAAACTGATGAGAAGAAGGGGAGAAAGTAAAAACATGAGGGAGAGGAAATCCAAAAAGGGAGACCGTCTGGAAGAGATGTTTTGTCCCAATCATGATTGGAAACACCACCAGTTGAGCCGTGAACCAGACAAAAACACTGTTAAACAAATGCATTATACCAGGTGCCACATAAAAACAAAGCAGAGGGTTGTGCTCTCTGGTTGCTCAGGGAAACACGATGTGCCCACAGTGGCCCTGGATGTCCCCCCTCCCTCTTTTCTCCTACCCATTTTTTTTGCTTGTAAATACAGTATCAGAGAAAGAAAGTAACAGTCTACCTCTAAATCCTACAGAGAAGCAGTAGTTCCACTGTTTAGTGAGGTTTATCCCGACAAGAGAGCTTTACCGTAAACTTATGCAGTGTCAGCCTAATAAATCTAGCACATCCCAAGAGACCGCTATAAAGCTTTAGCAAATTTACTGATTCTGTCATCCGCCTGCATCATTTACTGATGATAGACTTGAATGCCGCCCACTGGGGGCTTCAGACTTGACTGTCAAGAGCCTGAACTCACCCTCCTCCAGACCTCACTATTCCCCTCTGCCAGTCCTTCCTGTCATCACATGTTACGATGCATCTGTGCATTGTTCATGGTCAATGTGGGAACTGGGTCACAGAACAGAACAGAGTCCAGCTCAGCTCTGGTCCCTCTGGCCACCCTGTAAGCACAGAACTGGTCCAGGGCTAGAAAAAAAATACCGGCAGAACATTGTGTTAGAATGATGGTGTAGAGAAGGAGAGGAAAATCCTAGATGAGTTGATTAAGGAGAGGTTAAGAAAAAGAGGGCCAAATGGGGAAATGTGAGAGGATGAAGTAAGATAATAAAGATGAGATGAAGAGGGAATGGATGGATGAGCTCATGTTGTACTGCAAGTGTTGATGTTCTTACAGGCATCGTCTCTTTTGATGTCTGCTGTCAATTAGCTTCGGAAAACGTCTGGCGTTCTTGGACAGTATCTCTTGCATTTGTCATTCCTACACATAAAGCAGATGCTTGAACAATCTGTAGAGTTAACTTCACAGAATCAGGGTGTGATTTAAACTGCTGGCGTGCAGCCCAAGTTACTCAGTTGTCCTGTTTCTCTCTCTCTGCTCAAGAATGCTGTTCCTAGTGTTTAAGTGGTTGTTCAGATTCCTGTGATTCACAGCAGGAGGAGAGGGCAAAAATGAGATGAAAAGATACAAGCAAGATGTTTTATGACCAATGTTTAGTATAAGTAAGCAGTCTTGGATTTGGAGGTCTAGTAGTAGATCCCATTTCAAAGAGGTTTTGCTCTGCTTTGTGTCCTTGTGGCATCAAGGCCCGGAGATAAAGGGCCACAGATTGGGGGAGTCCTTAGTTCTGAATGTGTGTGTTGGTGTGTATGTGTTTGTAGGTCAGCATTTTAAAGCGGTGCAGAGGAGGTTACTACCAGTGGTGTTTCCTTTTGTCTTTGTGGACAGAGCCTAGGGTCACTGACTGTGTGAATAAGTAGGGACCAGATGTTTTAGAAACATTTTCAGTGTTACCATCAGTACATTCTCCATCATTCCATCACACAGACGTGAAGTGAGTTGGATACAGTGTTAGTATGTTCTGGGGAGAAAAACAGCATCACTAGTAGTTTTGGGGAACAATAAAACTAGTTTTTGTGGGAATGATTGCAAAATGACAGCTGAAAGTTAAAAATGCCAACTAAATACATTTACAGACCAGCCCTTCTTCTGGACATTAAGATAATTATTTAACCACTAATAAGCCAGAGAAAGGACAAGACAGATGTTTGAGCTGGATGTTGCATGACAGAGTCCTCTGAATGGTTTGATTTGTTTTGTTCTTTTAATAATTCTAGCAAATGTTGGTAGCAATAAAAGTTATAATGTGTGATAGATGTGATGTCTCAGTGAGTTCAAGACTCCAGTGTGCAGCATGCTGATGGAAGATGATAGATGTCTTTCACGGTAGAGCTGGGATTTGTAGTAAATCTGATGGATTCTTGGCTGCTGTGCATTAAAGGTGATAAGTGTGTTTGAGCTTAGGAACCACTGAATCCTCTTCAAAAGAGGTCATCTGGGGGCTCATGCGAGCAGTTTAAAAGGTTGTTTTCAGGTCATTTGGACATATTTAGTCTTAAAGTCCACTTTCTAATGCCTTTTGATTTGTTTCTGGGTTTTTAAAGGCAAGTACCAGTAACTTGCCAGTTGTGTCAGGAAACTCTCAGCCTCCATCAATGTGCATTTGTAAGTTCCACAACAGATTATATGACTTATTAATATGAGTATTTTGTGTGGTGTGATATTTTGTTAGTTGAGTTATACGACCTGTGTGTATCATCTCTTTTGGCTCCATCCACGGCATTACACAAGGTATTTGGAAACACGATGAAGTCATAATTTTCAATCATGAAATTATACAACACTGTAAAAGCCTTTGTCAGTGAGACAGGCCAAGTTTGGATGTGTGCTAGAGAACATTGAAAACCTTAAGTGCACTTTTATTCCTTTTTTGTTTCTAAGGGGTCTGACTCTTAATTATGGCTGTTATTTTTGTCATCATCCCCTTCTTGATTTGCTGGTTCTGGATCAGAATTCAAGTCAAGCTGGTTTTGTCATGAAACCTCCTGTGAGCCGTGCCTGAATCCGACTCCCAATCTGCTTGTGGGAGTTGTGGAGCAAAGGATGCAAGAGAGGGTTTTATTAGATGCAGGTGTTGAGCCCTCTTGTAGAGTGTCAGGGTTCGGGTTGAGATGTGAAGCTATGGGCCATGAATATAGAATTTCTACCAAAGATGGATTTGAATGAATAATTTGTGGACAGGAAATGGATATATCAGTAATGCACAGTGCTATCACATGTCAAAAGTCTGAACATATAGCTCCAAATAAGTGAGTGAATTCACAAACCACAGAGACACAAAACATGGTTCTTTTTGACTTCTGTTTTAACTATCTGACATTCTTCAGCTTGTATCACAAGTCTTCTGTCGTCTCTGCAGTTGTATTATGAGCAGAGACCCAGCTGAAATGAGAATAGTCCTCAGACTCAGAGGTCAAATAAAAGGCATATGTAACTAAGAGAGTTAATGACTGCAGTGAGATGTACAATATTTAGGCCAGTGTGTTCATTTTCCCAGTCCACACTAAACAAGCGCTCAGAGCACCGCGGTGTCTTTGGGCATCTTTACAGCCCAGTCACAGCCAGATCTTAGTTCCCACCCTACCTTTCCACCCGGAGCTAGTGTTTCTGCCCAAACATCTGTCCACGGTTGGCAGTTGCAGATGTTGTTGACGGCTGTGAAGATTAGAGGAAGTTCCAACCACTCATGGTCCATATGTTTCTTTTTTCATTTCCCTGTTTTGTTTTCAGGTCCGATGGAGGAGGAGGAGGAGGAGGTAGCCCTTATTTGTATAGACTTTTGTTTCTTTTAAAAGGAGGATCTTGTGTTATGGGGGATTCCAGTGTGCTTTGATTACAGCTGAGGTAAAGCAGAATCTTTAAAAACATACCCAGACACAAACACACACATGCACCCTAAGTGGGTGACTCATTGTAGCATCCGATGTGCAGCTGAGTTTAACTGAGACCTCCTGTGAGCCTGGGAATCAGTGCCAGCATGCACCAAGTACTGTATGTGCACTGTGAAAGCATGCTGTTTTTTTGATGCATTACTGTGAGACTGTTAGAAAGGACAGAGGTGGGAATAAGTGAGTTTTGTTGTGTTGATGAACAACCTGTATTTTCTCTACATCTTCATTGTTCAAGTTTAAATAGTTCTATATAATACTCAGACAAGCAAAGATGAGAACTGGGTCAAAAAACTTTGTTTATTCAGTTGCTTGTTGTCTTGAAATCATGAATGTTTTTTGTATTAAGCTGTTGTTGTTCATTTTTGTGCTGTGTATTGTGTGTGTTTGTATCCTGGATCAATTACTTGTATTACAGCATCAGCAAAAAATTTATTTTGTTTGTTCCCCCTTTTCTCAAGGCCTTGACAGCTAGCAAAGCCTGCAGAGAATTTAAAATGTTCCTGATTGTTCAGCACTCCCCTTTCCAGTTTTGTTCTGCAGAATCAAAGCCTTCTTTGACCTTCCAGCATAGGATTGGCCTGCCGATTATTTAAGGGTCCCAATCCCTAAATCTGTGAGGTCAACGGTGAGATGTGCTGATGGCCTCTGTTTCTGAGGAACTGAGCTCAATATGTCAAATCTAATATACTGGGCTAGACTGTAGTTTCTCCAGTGTCAGGGGACATGACTTTTTGAAGAAAGCCCTTCAAATACTTCTCATCTTGTTTTATAATGTCTTAGCTTCTAATAACAACCTTGATTTGTTGTTGATTCAAAAAATATGTATAAGCTGAATCATTTTCTTCCTCCTTGATACCGTTCTGTAATTGTTTTTGTTTTTGCATCATTGCCAACAGGCTTAATGATGATTATAACCTATTAGCTGAATGAGAGGTAATTATCATCAGTACTCTCAGTATTGCTTAACAATGCTCATAAGCGTTTTAGCTGAACTTGCAATGATGAGGTAATAATAGACAAAAATAAATCTATAATTTATTCTAATAGGGAGTACACTCAGAGTGTACTTTCTGAGCAGCTTCTGTGAATCTTTGGAGCATAGATACTGGTTTTGACTGACTCATACTTGAAAGCCAAGTGTGACAGTATTTCACCCGCATAATGAAGACGAGTTGTTCTGACAAGGCGAGTCATGGGACAGGATGTGGACCCGAGAAGTTCCTGCGTAATCACTGCAGAGATCTCGCATACCGTTCCAACTCTGTAAATGTTTGTGTGAGCCTCTGTGTGCTGCTCCTCACAGCTGAGAATGCCAACTGCTCTCAAATGGATGTTGAGAATCTAATTGAGTGAGACAAATGTTTATGATCTCAAGTGTCAGCCATACCATCCTTTAAAACGGTAATTGTACATTTAGATACACTAGTTGAACTGTACAGACATCATTATATTTGAGTTTACACACACATACGACTGCACACAGATGAGCGCTTGGAAGAAACCACGTTTTATTTATAATAAGAAAACACTGATGAAATGTGGGGTTAAAGATGCATCTTTGTGGATGTCTGCCATGAAGAAACACTTAAACAGCTGGTTGTGTTTTTGGTTTCTTGCTGTTCTAAATGATATAACTGACTGTGGACTGTTGGCATGGTTTTAGTCTTCGTGGAATGATGCCCACTTTAGCAATTTACTTTGTGTGTGCCTTAAAGGAATAGTTGGAAATTTTGAGAAATACAGTCATTCACTGGTGCTAGAAGATGGTTCACTTAACTTAGCATGAAGCCTTGGGAGCAGGTGCTGATGGCTAGCCTGGCCTGTCCGAAGGTCATGTGTCAATAATAGTGTTTTTCCACCATGGGAACTTAACAAGTTATAACCTGGAGCCTTCCACGCTCATAATCCAGCAGAACTTGAAGAGCTGATGTGGTTCATTCTGCTCTGCTTTTCCAGTGTATTTTTTTACTGCGTCAGTCACTGTTTACACGAGGTCGGTGCTGAACTCATCACACACAGCTGAGCAAAGTGTGTCAAGGACCACAATGCTTGTTAATCATGTGTGCAACAAATAGTGCCATTAATGGAGACTGTATGAGCAGTTTGTCAAACAGCTGTTGAACAAACAGAACACAAACTTACAGAAATGTGAGTCTTTACTGTTTTGCCAGCTGAGGTCCCCGTTTTACCTTTAAGCCCAGGGTTTTCAAACTGTGGTCCATGGTCCACTATAGAAATCATTGCTTTGTTTTGTTTTTTTGTAAACACTTTTCCGTGTATTATTTATTATTTGTGAATAATTCATTCAAATATATAAAATTTAGAAAAGCCGAGGTAAGTTTCAGGATTAAAATAGCGCCCATCCAGTCAACCCACCATACAGCAGTGGTCCCCAGGTTGCTTCTAAGTCACAGTCATGGTCACAATCAGTTGAAAACAGCAAGGCTTTATGTGTCATCAAACATTGATTCATTTTACATAGCTGGAACAGTCTTCTGCTATGTTAAGAGTCTAACTCATCCAGTCTCGATCCATGTTTGTGCTTCAAGTGTCCTGGTTGTTTGATTGCGTGAGTCAGGCAGACTTCTTACACTAATAGCTTCCATCGGGCCGTCTGGGCCTGCTGCTTTATGGTGATGAGGCGGCAGAATTTGTGGTGAAACTGGCAAAATGTCTTGGATGATGAGGCAAACTGGCGGGTACTGGGAGGTTAACTGAACCTTTGGGGCTTGTCACTAGCTCAGAACTTCAAAGCAAAGGTTGGACTCGGGGTTTAGGAGGCAGTGTGGGACTCTGGAATTGGAAGGGTTAGGGGGCAAAAGACATCATCTGTAATTGGGGTTTGTGAGGTTTGGGTTTTTCTGCAGGCTTGCATATTCTCCCTTAAATGTCTAATGTCTGCTGAGCATGTCTCAGCCAGTCCCAGCACCAGCTGCAGCTGGAAGAAGACTGAGACAGAGACCTCACGTACAGTAACGTAGCAGAGAAAGCACACAAAGACAGCATACATACAAAACCTGCCTGACAGGACACACTGATGAGGCTTGTGTTTTTAGTCCAAGGCTGTGAAACTGGGAAAAATACAAATGAGACCATGCTTTCAGTTCATGTAGGAATGCCTTTTAATTCAAACCAGTAACCCAGTACACTTTCTGATAGGAAGCTGTGGGCCACAACAGAGGATTCTCTGACCTATTTCTGATGAAATATTGATAACAGTAAGGTCTAGACCTTACTTTGTAAAGTGTCCTGAGATGACTTTTGTTGTGATTTGGCACTATACAAATAAAATTTGATTTGATTTGATTTGAAAGTGGATATGCACGAGCACAAAATGTTTTCGTCTATCTGTCTTTCTCTGTGTTTAACAAGATGATTGTACATTAATTTGTACTTCTGTTGTCACATGAGAGTTATACTATCCAAATTAACAGCAGTGCTCTGCTAATCCCAGAGTGTGTGTGTGTGTGAGACCTTGTACAAGTGCAAACACACACTTTTCTGCATTTGTGGTACAGTCTTATTTATAGGAACAGCCTCAACAAACTATAGGAATACCCATTCCAGCTGAATTGCACTGCTCTGTAATCAGTGCGTTGAAAGCTCTGTCACCCTGCTGAGTTTCTGCACTGTGAGAGATAAAGATCCCCTTGCGATGTCTCACTGGCTGTTCTCTGCCAATTCCTTTATTTTCTGTGTAAATTTGATATTAAACCATAATAATAAATTATCTCTCATATCGTGTTATGAAGCCCAGGAATACACAACTTGTTAAAATCTAATTGAACTGAATGGACCTGAACTGAAAGTTCCTCTCCAACTTGATGTATAAACAGGGGATGGGATGCAAAGGAGTCAGAACAGCTGTGATGAAATGTTTATTTACATCACCAGATTCCACTGCATGACTCTTTCCTTGCCGCAGAGTTACTTGTTTCTTTTATGTGACACCATGCTTGTACACATTGATGGTTATAATCAATAAAAGAATATAAACACATGAGATAGGACATAAATGAGGCTTTCTGCTGTTTGTTTTAATTTGGTCTTTGTTTCCAGTGCTGTGCACTTTAGACCATTGGAGAACCAGACTGTTGCTTTTTAAACGTGGCTGGATAAAACTGATTGAGGGGATTCGGATGTATTACACTCTTATGTAGAAATGAGTGCAAAGTAACTGACTGTGCATGGTACTGACAATGGACAGAAAATCTCAGTGATGGTTAACAAGTTTTCTTTGACCTCTCCCTCCTTGTGTGCCCTAGGTGCTGCGTGGAGCTCAGCTGATAGCGGTGGCATCAGCTGATGGAGGCGCCACAGCAGTAGAGGGGTCCTCTCTGCCCCCTGACATCCAAGTGCAGTATGTCCAGCTAGCCCCTGTTGCAGATCACACAGCCACAGTACAGGTAAAACAGCACACACACGCACCATGCAGGCTCTTGTCCACAGACACAGGTTGTAACTCATTACCAGTGCTGCATTATGCAGCTCTTGTTTGTTTGACATGAAACAGACCCTAGTACTAATCTAAGTCTGTTCCACTTTACATGTGTTTGTTTTTAACCAATGCATAATAATTTGCTGTGTTCTCCACCTCTTTTCCTTAGTCTGAAGTACTCAGGCCAGTAATCAGACCTTCACTGACAGCATTAATCTCTGTGGCACATTCAGTGCTCAGCCAAAGGATGCAAGCCCCATGATTTTATGTATTTTAGTACTCTGAGGTGTATCCAGTGCTTTTGTTTCTCAAATGCATAATTTCATGACAATAGAAGTTCATGTTTATTGCTGATAACTGACCTACATCGTGATTTGAAATTTGTCTCTGCTACAATGTAGAAAAATATAAAACATGAAAGTATGTTTTAATTTAGGTGCAAATATAAAGATTATTTTAAAATCTACCTGGTTTTGCACCTGTCTCATTAAATTGGTGCCATTCTTTATTTGTATTGGAAAACTGGGGAGAAACTCTCTCATTCTCGGCGATGCCAACAAATAATTCCTAATCATTCTATTGTTATTAGCCCTTTTCTCACCCTGCACATTTAAGTATTTCACAGGGATGCAAACTTGTCACCTTTCAGTCCTTATTGGTCACCCATGTGAATTGTGCAGATGTGATCATCGCGTAAGAGTCTTCGTTCATCTTGCTGAAACTATCCGACAAGGCTCAGCTGCCTGGTAGTGGCACAGGATACCAATTTCTAAGCTCAGTGATAAAGGTTTTCTTGCTACAATGCTCCTTTGAGCTTGTAAGCATTGGCTGTTGACAGCTGGTGAACTCACATCGCCTGTCCACCTATCTTTCCTTCAACTAAAACAATGGCTTAATGTGCTTTTGCCAAGACTCCAAAGCACAGTTTTGTGTGTGAGACAAGAACATTCTGGCTATTCACTATGATTTTGCGAAGTTTAGGGATCCAGCCATTTTTCCTTTTCTTTTTGTTTCTTCTTTTGAGAAATGATGTGCTGACTGCCAGCCAAAGTGTCTGGTTGTTGAGGATAACACCTGCCGTATTTGGTACTGTAATGGTTTGTTTAACTTCATAACGAGACAGAATATATCCTGTAATATTTCATTCACAATTATTGTAATGTTGAAATAGAAATCTGAGTGTAATTTCAGCAATTTAGCTCAACTCCTTGCAAGTACAATGGGTCTCCCTTTCCAATGTTGTCATAATTTTGCTTAAATAAAAAGCGCTTAGCTTTTGACGGGTGTTTGGACAAACAGTAATTTAACATGATAAAGTGCAGTGGATGGAGCGTTACAAGGAGAAGAGTAGTAATTAGTAAATATGCCTAAAATCCCTTGATGATTGAGCTTGTTGAGCACCAGCCACATGTGGAATCGGGCCTGTGCACAGGCCCACAGCACAGCAGCCTTTGAAGTGGTCACTGTAACTGTGAGGGGTATAAAAGAACAGCACTTTTCTATTATTTTCTCTGCTGG